ATAAATTTTGGAACACTTCTTCCCCACTCCTGATGATTCCCAACTGAAAGGAAACTCAGTTCCTTTACTCGGAGCCTCTCTCCACCCCTTTACTCCATCCCCAAGGAGGTAAACATTTGATTTGTAAATATAGGAAGAATAACTGAAGCTATATGGCTCAGTTCCATTCTCCTTCTAGGGAGCTCCCCGACCCATTCAGTGCAACCAGCTATGACATGAATCTTAAGGATTCATTATTAGAAAAGCCCAAATTAGCTAAGACTTAAAAACACATCCCTCAATTTGTTGTCTATTAGAAAAGAAGGTGATACTTTGACCTTCATCTTCACTATTTCTCAACTTGTACATAACCTAAGAAGAAGGCCTCTTCAGATACCCCTATGTACATGAATTTCTCTCTCTTCCATAAGAACCTTACTGACTACCCTGGGCATTGGTGATATTTGTCCTTATTAAAATAATACTTAACTGTTTCAGTCAATATTACCTTTTGTTAAGTATGTGTGAATATCTCTGTGTTCCTAGCTATCATCAGCTAGACTATAAATTCTTTCTGAATAGGAAACACATTTTCTACTTATTTGTATTCTACACAGGATATAAGGCATTCAATCGTATAGGTTGATTGTTTGAAAAAACATGGAATAATTTTCTCCTGGAGACTATATGCAGTACAACTGATCACAGCATTGTAGAGTCAACAACTTTTTTATTTAATAGGGATGAGTAATCAAGTATCCTTAATAATGACAAAATGACATGTGGATTATTCCCCTCTAAATATTTCTTTATAAAATGTATTGCATGCTTTCCAGCCTTAGTAAATGTCATATGCCAAACCGTATTTATCTTTCTTCATCGGCACAGTGTTACTAACATGATCAGCTATGTTATTAGAGATAGTATAGGATAGAGAGTACTATTCAGTTGATCAAAATAAAGAAAACTTACCCAGCGTGGCCTAAGGAAACAACACTGAGGGGAGACAAGTTTGGAGCTACAAAAATAGTCCTTATCGTGAAATTCCAAAGGGCCAAGAGAGAACAAACAAGAAGTAGCTACCAGCAGCTAAGGGATTCAGAACTAGAATTAGGAGTAAGAGTGGGTCTAATAGACTGGCTTAGAACTAGTTGGACAGGGTAAGAGAGCACTGGAGCTTCTCATTTAGCGTGATATTCATTTCCTACCTCTGGAAATGTGCATGTGTATTAAAGAACTTACAGGGCGGTTAGCATCTATTCCCGTTTGCAACATTAGAAAGTTTTATCCGGTGTCGTTTCTTTTCTGGTAAGACTGAACTGACCTAGAATGATGTGAATGGGGTGAAACCAAAAGTGATAATTAATGTGGAAAAAGAATCTGCAGGGCTTACCGTTACTGAGTATGTAAAGATGAAGGAGAAGAGTCAAAATTACACCCAAATACCAGTCTAACAGTTGAACATTTCAAGAAAGAAATGATGAATTTTGTTCTAAACAGCCTGGATGATGGAAAAAAATGAAAGAAGACTTCCGAATTTCATGACAAGGACTTCCTTGCATCTCCTATCAGTTACTGAATGCTACCTTAAAAATAAGCACTGTTTTTAAGATAAATAGTAAAATTCCTTTCCTTTGTCTTGGTAGACACCTGAGTGTGTTATAACTTAATAGCTGGATGGCTTGTTACCATCCTCCTTTTACTGAGCCTACCCTCTATTTCATTATTTCTCCATATTCATTTAACATGTGATTCTTATAAATTTTAACAGTTGGAAAACAAACAGCTGGCTGAACTCTCTACTTCAGTGTTTTGGATACTTTGCTTCTTGGTAAGTGATCAGTATTTTGATACTGCTATAGTAATAACAGGAAATGATCTGTTAAAATCTGGATCTCCAGCTATAGATGAATGCCAGGGTACAGAGGAGAGCTGGTCTCAGAATAAAGTCTATAAAAACAGTTGGGGGAGTTATTTCTAGGACCACAGGGAGAGAATCGTAATTTGCTCTCAACACCGGAAAAGCAAATACATAGTGGAAAAACATCTTATGGTCACCATTGAACTGCATCAGTGGAAAGCTTATGGCCACAAATGCAGTAATTAAAACAACTGAGATGGTAAATACTAGAGCTTCAATTATACATGATGTGAAATACCATTTCCTGAAATACGAATTCACTCAGAAAAAGATTTCATAAGAAAGAATACCTTTAAGTTGGTGTAACTGTAATTTTGCTTATGTTGGCAAAATAGTAAATTGATTCTTTTAACCAGAAAGGACAAGAGAAGACAAACAATGGTGGCAGGATTAGCCATAGAAAAAAGGGAGGGTACTTTCACATAAAACTGAAATACAGACTGGTTAGTATTACTAAAAAATAATTTCAACTTTTCTTACAAAATTGCCATGGGTTATAGACATTTTCTTAGATTTACGGTGGGGGGGGAGTTGTAATTAATTAGCCTTAAGATATGTCCTGTTAATAGAATAAATCATTATCATGGATAATTAATAAACTAACCCCTGAGGTTTTTCCTTTGTTGTCTTCCTCTCTCTAACGCTTTCTAGACACCATTGCACAGAAGCAGGCCCAACTAAATGGCAGATCATGAAGCACAGAGAGCTTCCTTGTAGATGGCTGGTAAACAGCTTTGTACAGCAAACACTTCCAAACACCATACTCTAGGGAGTCATAGTAGAAGTGGGGAAAATCAAAACAATGTGGGCAAAAGAAGATTAACTTGTTTTAAAAGCTCCACAGAGCAAAAGTGTCTCCAAATAACCACAACTACAAAGTATTATTTTCCCTAATGCTTTAATTTAACATATTTTGCAACTTTTATCATTTTTAAAAGGTAATTGAACCAAGAATTCAATTAAAAATGACATATAATAAGTCAACATGTTATTAAGAATTTAAAGTAAAATTTTCTAAAACACTAGAAACATATCAAATATTTGTATTCGAGTTATAAAATTTTATACTCATAAAAATTTATACTGTAGTGTATTAATCTGTACTAAACTAGTAGTCATAATGGCTAAAAGAACAGAAGGCATGGTGTCTAAAATTACTTTTCAAGATTGGTCTGTGTTTTAATTGTTGGAATCTTTCAAATGAGAGCAAAAGTACAAAACATCACTGGATTCCTAACATACAAATCATCTGTTTCAAATTAATTGTTGTTATTCACGTAAAAACAATGATAGTTTGGATTCGAGAATAGGCTTAAAAAGTGAATAACTAGCTGATATTACAAATAGTCTCTCTTTCTACAGTTCCACCTCCTCCACAATGCCTTCTTTTAGCTTCACCTCTAACTTCTGAATAGGAAGTTAACTCTCTCTTTTCCATCCACCAGTTAGAGATCTTACCAGTCTAATTTCTGATCTGGTTATCAGAGACCTATTATTTCCCCTAGTAGACTATAAGCAACTGGAAAGCAAAGTCTGCATCAGATTTACTTTGGTTTCCTTATTATGTCTAATTCAACATTCAGTATCTATTAGTCTTTTTAGAGTTGGGTATTTATTAGCCTTCAGTGAACTGCTGTCTTTTAAAATTCCAGGTTTATACAAAGAGTTCCTTGTGACAGTATTTCCACAGGTAATAAGCTGATTTTTAAAGTGTCTAATACTTCAATTACATGTATAATTTAAATATTTAAATCTCATAACTGCAGTTTGATCAATACTCAAAAAGTATACTGATTACGGATGAATCCGTGAAGTTGCTGTCATTGTTTTATTAACTGTTAAGATGGCTTTTCAATGTTAGTTTTTTATTCTCAGATCCTATACAGTAAGAAATATAACTATGTCAAATCTAGCCTCTTTGGGTGATTCCTATGTGAAACAGGTAGAATAAACTATTTTTAAATCAGCTTTATTAAGGTATGATTGACATGCAATAAACTGCACATATGTATGATTTGATAAATTTTGGCATATGTATATAGCTGTGAAACCAGTACCACTGTCAGGATAATGAACATTTCTGTCATCCCCCCAAATAATTCATGCCTTCTTGCTTCTGTCTGCTCCCCATCCTGTGCAACCACTAATATGCTTTCTATCACTTGATGAGTTTGTACTTTCTAGAATTAAAAAAAAAAAAAAAAGAATCATACACTATAGACTCTTTTTTGTGGTTTCTTTCTTTCAGCATAATTATTTTGTAAATGTATCCATGTTGTCGCATGTATTAACTGTTCATTTATTTTTATCGCTGAGTAGTATCCTATTATATGGATTTACCACAATTTGTTTATACCTTCTCCTATTGATCAACATTTGCATTGTTTCCAATTTTTAGGTACTACAAATAAAGCTGCTATGAACATTCCTGTGCAAGTCTTTGTACAGACATACGCTTTCTTTTCTCTTGGGTAAATACCCACACACAGGTATATGTTTAACTTAAGAAATTACCAAAATGTTTTCCAAAGTGGTTATACACTAATTACATCCTCATCAGTAGTTTGACAAGAGGTCCATTTTCTCCATATCTTTGCTAACACGTGCAATTGTCTTTTTTTTTTTAACATCTTTATTGGAGTATAATTGTTTTACAATGTTGTGTTAGTTGCTGCTGTATAACAAAGTGAATCAGCTATACATAATATCCCCAATTCTCCTCCCTCTTGCATCTCCCTTCCAACCTGCCTATCCCACCCCTCTAGGGGGACACAAAGCACCGAGCTGATCTCCCTGTGCTCTGCGGCTGCTTCCCACTAGCTATCTATTTTACATTTGGTAGTGTATATATGTCCATGCCACTCTCTCACTTCGTCCCAGCTTACCCTTCCCCCTCCTCATCATTTTAACCACAGTCATTCTAGTGGCTGTGAAATGGTATCTCATTACGATTTTAATTTGCATTTCACTAACATCCAATGAAGTTGAGCATCTTTTCATATGCTTATTTGTCAGTCATATGTCTTCTTTGATGAAATGATTGTTTAAATCTTTTGCTCACTTTAATGGGATTGTTTGTCTTCTTCCTGTTAAGTGATAAGAAGAGTTCTTTATATATTCTAGATACAAATATTTTGTTGGCTATATAATTTGCTCTTTCAAAAGAGAAATGAAACTGCTTCAGATAATTATGCATTGTTAATGTAATACATGGTCTATCAGGACTTCAGATAATCCTTAAAATAAGGGGAAGCATTACCTCCACAATCCAGGGCTACCAAGTTTTCCCATGCCTAATGAGGTGCTCAGCTGGTTTATGAAAAACAGGGAAAGGGAGTAGAACTAGAAAACATAGTGATTTCCCCAACATTCTTCTTAATTCTTCCTAATTGTAGGAGTTTTTTTCACAAACTATTAATAGTAGGAAGTAACAGACTGGATCAGGTAAATGATAATTAGTCCTCCTCCTCTTTTGTTTTAAGCAAATTTTTAAAAAGCAGTTAGCAAGTAGTAACATTATTACTAATAAAACTTCCTGTACTTTTTATTAGATTTCTCTGCCTCTTAGACTCTGCCTGTTGTTTACATGAATGTTTTCCTTATCAGACTAACGCAGAACATCAATACAGTGCCAAGTATATATTGCTCTTATTTTCTTGATTCTCTCCTTTTCTTTTAATTCCTATCCATCTGTTTTTCTTCTACCCTTCCCAGCATCTGACATCTATGCTTGGGAGTAATTCACTGATCTCAAATGAGTTTTGGTTACAGACTTTTTGGTGATGATACAGTCACTTACCATGCTTCTTACTTTAAAGACAACAGAATGAAAATGACAAACTCTTTGTGGAACTCATAGAAAAAAGAGCTGAGATTCTGCTGAGTGAAAAAAATGAAACCTTCATTTTTTATAGCATCCATGTAAATTAGTACTCTGCCAGAATAAATCAAACACATACTTATTTCCTAAACTTTGCTAATTTAAGACTTCAGTCTACCCAGTAATGCAAGAACCTCTGAGGAATCTTTCCCAAACAAGAGCCAATATGGTGGGAATTCCCTGGCAGTCCAGTGGCTAGGACTCCATGCTCTCACTGCCAAGGGCTCGGGTTCGATCCCTAGTCGGAGAAGTAAGATTCCCACAAGCCATGCGGCACAACCACAAAAAGAAAAAAAAAGAGCCAATATGGAGAAGTTCTGTCTCCCCCAAAGTAAGGATATGGGGTAGTGGGTGGTGCTGGGGGAGATATACAGAATCAAATCGACTCATGTTAAACCATGGAAAGAAACCTCATTTAAGGGACTTTAAAATATTTTTATATGTAAAGAACAATCTCATATATTTTTAAAATTTTCATGAGCTACATTATCCCTTAGGGAATGCTTCAGTGTCAGACACAAATTTGAAACTGTTCTATAAACAGCATTAGAATTAGAATAAACAGCAGATTATATTGGCAATTGCTGACATAATATCAGGATATAGACAACCCTAGGGTTAAAAATATTTCATGGGAGTACAATAATTATGACACAATTAATTACATTCCCCAAATCAGAATGGTTCTCATCACACACTGCATGCTAAGCTTATTTTGACACAGTTTTTAAAAAGACCGAGTATTAATAGAAGAAGCTTCCTCTGGATAGAAAAAAATAATAATTCTGGCCTATTAAAGATAATATCTATTGGTAAAACATAGTTTTGTTCCCAAACACACAGTAAATCATTACTGTAATGCATGATCACTATATGAAATAATTACCTGGTTAATAAAAAATTGTGTATATCTTAAAAATTTTCAGTTCAACTGGTTTTCTTTTGACATAAAGAAAAATTTAATGATTGGCTCAAATTCATTTTAATAATTATAAAATATGTGAGCTTTATTATATGTTAAAGAAAATAAACATAGTATGACCCAAAAGTTATTTATTAAAGTTACAATAAAATACTTTTCAATGCATAAAAAATTGCAAAATAATTGATCCATTTTTCAATAAAGATACCAGATTTAATCTTTACTGACAAGATAAAGATATGTTTAATGACTTTTGTTCTGTTTCAAGGTCACCTTATGGAGCGATACATCATGAAATCAATAGTTGTACATCTAGGAAATTTACCAATGGAGCTCTCTTCCACGGGTGTGTATATTTTAATTTGTCTCATGTGGGTATCTCTTCCATTCTGATGATTGGCTAGAACAGCAATCTGTATCATGAATGTGCGAGTTGGCTTCTTATGATTATCAGTTAAAGGAACGTGAATCCAGCCACTTGGTTCCACCAATTCAAGTTGCTGCCAAGAAAAGAAAAGTCAGATTATGTTTTCACCCAATGAATATAATTTATTATAATGAATGTATTCTAAAGTTGACTTATAATTAACATTTTTCTCATGGACAGCATGACAATATAATAAACATTATCAGTTATTGGGCACTTTTACCATGGTCCATTTTTACAGTTGCTAAGCACTTTACATGTACCATTCTTGTAGACAAAATAAAAATAGAATTATTTGCAATCTTAGTATTTGTAGAAACGTGTATATGATTTAGCCATGTGTAAATGTATAGGGCCAGTGAAAAACCATGCTGATACAAGTAAGAAAAGACTCTAAATGCTTAGAACATAATGCTTCTGGTATATTTTATTTCAAGAACCATGCCTAATATATCCAAACTCACATAACAATAAATCAGATTCTATATAAACTACAAGAATATTAACAAAAGAAAATCAGTCATTGCACAAGTATCAGACAAAGCTTTTTTTCTTGGAAAATAGTAAGTGATTTATCTATCCGAATGACAATCTAAACCTAAAATCTAGGTTTTAATGTTTTTCAAAAAGAAATGCCAGATAAACTTAAAAAAATTTTTCATTTTATTGGGACTTCCCTGGTGGCGCAGCGGTTAAGAATCTGCCTGTCAATGCAGGGGACATGGATTCGAGCCCTGGTCCGGGAAGATCACATATGCCGCGGAGCAACTAAGCCCGTGCGCCACAACTACTGAGCCTGCACTCTAGAGCCCGCGAGCCACAACTACTGAGCCCACATGCCACAACTACTGAAGCCCACGTGCCTAGAGCCCGCACTCTGCAACAAGAGAAGCCACTGCAATGAGAAACCTGCACACCGCAACAAAGAGTAAGCCCATGCTTGCTGCAGCTAGAGAAAGCCCGTGTGCAGCAGTGAAGACCCAACGAAGCCAAAAATTAATTAATTAAAAAAAATTTTTTTTCATTTTATTTTAACCAAGAGTCCAAACTATCCTTCCTTAACAAGGGAAGAAAAATTATAAGTAAAAAAATAAACCTAAATTTCTAAAATTTTTCCTAAAGTTATGAAATAGTTTTTAAAAGATAAGTATTGATTTTTAAATTGTCCTAAATATTGGACACAGCTGAAAAATATGCATTACAGAAAAATACAGGTTTATCTTATCAACCCAGCCCAATGGCAATGAATATAAAAGAAACTAAATCCGGATTCCATGAGTTACTCTAGAAAAACAAGAGACAAGAGACAGAGAAATGGAATACTAAAAAAGGTAGTTATTTTTAAGAAGGAATAATTTCCTCCTTTTAATTACAAAATATAAGAATAAATGAATCTCTACCCTTTATGGTATTGTCAGTCAGTGGCTTTTTATAAACTCCTATTAGCACTAACTTAAAATAATTGAGTCAGAGACCAGATATATCTGGTTTCTATCACTAACCTTTTAATCATTCAGGCAATAAATAGTTACTGAGTACTTAAAATGTTCAAGGTATTATTGTAAGTATAGTTAGGCATACAAAACATAAATTAGGCCTGATTCACACCTAAAGAGTGCATAGAGGCAGACAAACAGCCTCTGGTTTCATTCATCTTCTTCATGTGTAAAGTAAAGGGATTGGACAAGTTTTCATCCAATGTCCTTTTCAGCTCTGACATTCAATGATTCTAAATAAAAGAAGAAAGATGTGCTAGGCAGAATAATAGGCCCCCAGAGATGTCCATGTTCCTCCCCAAATCCCCTGAATACATTAACTTACAATGGCAAAGGGACTTTGCAGATGTGATTAAGTTAAAGATTTGGGGATGGGAAGCTTATCCTGGATTACCTGGGTGGGCCCAATGTAATCACAGGGTCATTATAAGAGAGACAGTAAAGGAGACGTGATGATGGAAGCAAAGGCTGAGTGATGCAACCACAAGCCAAGGGATGTGGGCATCCTCTAAAAGCTGGAAAAAGCAAGAAGCATTCTCCCTTAGGAGCTCCTAAAAAGAATGCACCTTGCTGACACCTTGATTTTCATCCATTGGACCCATTTTGGACTTCTGACCTTCAGAATTGTAAGATAATAATTGTGTGTTGTTTTCAGCCACTAAGTGTACGGTAATGTTTTGTAGCAACAACAGGAAACTATTATAATAGATACACACAGGAGTTCAGAGAAGGGGGAAAGCAGCTCTGGTTGGGATAATCTATTCTCTAGGTAAATGTACAATAATGAATCTCAGTAATGACCAAAAAGTAAAACTAAAATTCTACTCAACTCCTTCCTAATAGAATGTTTTTGACAAATTCAACCACTATTTCTGATAGACTCAATGTTATTTTCAGAGTATTTTTTAAGTGCTTCACTGTACTGGAAGTTATACTGAGATTTTACAGCAAATGATTTGGGGCATGATATGTATGGAATTGTAAATGTAGTAAATTATTCAATAAATACTATCAGTAAACTAGTTCTTCAGAACATAAAAAGTTTACTGATCTCAGTCACTAAATGTATATTACAAAGTGTGTGTAGCTGTTAACATCTCTCAAATGGCTTCACAATCAACTACATTGCCCCAAAGTCATAAACACCAACTTATGTGTCTACTTCAGTTCTACTGTGCTCTGTTTAAAATTCTCAGTCAACTCTAAAATGTTATTATTCTGATACTGCCATATTTTAACTTATTTCATGGATTTAAAAAAATTCAAGTACACATGGTAGATATAATTTCAATGTTTTTTCATAACAGTTCGATTAAAAGGTTAATATATTTTAAGCAAAATTTATTTACATGATTTTTTATATTTTTAAACAGAAAATTAATGAAAGGTAAAATTTTGCCAGTTTAACTTTCTTTTTTTCCCCTATATCTGATCTGGACCTCAATAAATAAAATTTTCATCACCATTAAAATGTAAATTTTTCTATATTCCTCCTTGTTCTTTCTTTTTACCATCTCCCTTTTTGGCTCTTTCCTCCATATATTCCCTCGCTTAACATTTTTTATTGGCATGTCTACTAAATACCAAAAATTCTGCTAACTATAGATGTAGGATAGGGGTTGGCAAACTTTTTCTATAAAGGACCAGACAGCAAACATTATAGGTGGTGTGGACCATGTGGTCTCTATCATGACTACTCATCTCTGCCTTTGCAAAGTGACAGTTATAGACAATATAAAAGTGAATGGGGGGGGGGGCGTCCCTGGTGGCGCAGTTGGTTGGGAGTCCACCTGCCGATGCAGGGGACACGGGTTCATGCCCCGGTCCGGGAGGGTCCCACATGCCGCGGAGCGGCTGGGCCCGTGAGCCATGGCCGCTGGGCCTGCGCGCCCGGAGCCTGTGCTCTGCAACGGGAGAGGCCACAACGGTGAGAGGCCCGCGTACTGCAAAAAAAAAAAAGTGAATGGGTGTGATTATGTTTGAGTAACACTTTACTTACAAAAGTAGGACACAGGCTCGATTTGGCCCACGGGCTGCAGTTGCTGATCCCTGACATAGAGAATAGTTATTGATAGAGTCTACCTTCAGAAAGGTGACATGATTTCATAAGACAGATAAGCTGTCTCAGTCAGGGTGGAGTCAGGAGACACACAGGGTATTTTAAGAGAGAATTCCCTAAGGAGGAATCAAGTTGCTAACTAGAGAAATGGAGAGGCCAAGGAAAATACTAAGGTATCATGGAGGGAACAAGTACCAGAAGTGCAGTTCTAAGGTTGGGGAACAAAGCAAAGAGACAAATTAAGACTGAGAAGTTCATAGAGGAATTGGAACTTAGATCTCTACGAGGGAGCTGCTGGGCTGGTGCTGGGTTTCTGGAGGAAGGGCCCTGTGGAGCTGGCATACAGACCTCAAGGAGGGGGTGCCAACTGGCTAGCAGTGCTGGTTTTTCAGATGTGTGGCTTCAGGGGGTGGTACAGTCGCCCTCCATATCCGTGGATGCAGAACCCCTGGATACACAGGGCCCACTGAGCTGTGCCATTTTACAGATGGGACTTGAGCATCCTTGCATTTTGGTATTCATGAGGGGTCCTGGAACCAATCCCCCGCAGGTATGGAGGGACGACTGTACCGTGAGAGTCAGAGAAACTGCAAACTGGACTCAAGCCTTGCTAGAAGAAGGACCGGCTGCTGTGAAGAAACATTGCTGGGATGATGGGAAGCAAACAGGGTTCAAACAGAAAGAAGCAAGTCCCCTTTTCCTCTTCCTGCCTTGCAATTTCCCTCTAAGGCCCCCTTTTGCCAGAGCCTAACAGATATGCAAGGACTCCAGGCACACATTCATTTATCAAATCTTTATTGAACACCTATTATGCGCCAAACTATGTTCTAGGGACTGAAAATGTAGTGGTAAACAAGACAGCAGATCACACCTGAAAAAACTACTCAGAGTAGTACAAACAGATACAACTTAAACATGACAATAAGACTTCAAGAAAGAGGACATAATAAAACTCCTAGCAGTGAGGAAGAAACCAAAACCAACCAAACAAACAAAAAAACACACACACAGTTAACCAAAAACAATAAATTAATTTTTATAAAATAAAACATAAATGCCAACAATAATTCCTCAAGGAGAATGCTAATGATAATAACAGTAAACTCTTATATAGCACATATTATGTGCCAGGTACTACTCTAAGAGCACTAAGTAAATTAATCTATTTAATCCTAGCAATGAGGCAGGTAATATTATTATCCTGATGTGACAAATGTAACAACTGAGACACAGAAAGTTTAAATAACTTCACCAAGGTCACACAGCTGGCAAGTGGCAGAGGTGTGATTAAAACAAGCAGTGAGATTCCAGAGTCTATGCTTTTAAACACTAATGTAATGTTTACATAATGTAAAGATAATTTAGTAATAATAATTTTGTCCAAAATCCTATATTATACCAAAAAAATAAAATAAATATGGGCAAGAGAAAATTGGCCACTAATCTCTTCACCATAACACAGTTCCCTTTATGTCATATACGTAACTACACATATAACATAAAAAGAACTACAAAAGG